CTTAAAAGATACAAACAATCACATCTCAGAAAAATTCATAACACTAAATTTTTAAACAACGAAAAACTATTCTATCAACATTTAACTAATTCAAGCAAAACTCAATTATCCGGTGAACTTCCAAGTTCACAGGATGTAACAACATTTTGGTCAAAACTTTGGTCTCAAGAATTTGAATTTAACCAATCTCTCAAATGGATTCCTCATATATCCCATAAACTATCCACAGTTACACCAATGAATGATCATCAGATAACACTTGCCGAATTAATAAATACCATCAATAAGACACACAACTGGAAATCACCGGGGCCAGACAAAATCCATAATTTTTGGATAAAAAAATTAAATTGTGTACATATTCATTTACTACATCACTTAAATCAGTTCCTTCTTGACCCATCCTCCTTTCCAACATTCTTATGTGATGGTGTAACATACCTAAAACCTAAAGATAACGACACAAAAAATCCATCAAAATACAGACTTATCACATGTTTACCGACAATCTATAAAATATTAACCTCATGCATTACACAAAAAATCTATCAACACTGTTTTAACTCTGACATCATTAATGAAGAACAGAAAGGATGCATTAAAGGATCCTTTGGTTGCAAAGAGCAATTAATCATAGATTCCATCATCTGTGAACAAGCTAGAAAAGAAAACCGAAACATATATACTGCTTTTATTGATTAGAAGAAAACTTACGATTCTGTCCCTCATTCCTGGCTATGCAGAATTCTGGAATTATACAAAATTGATACTAAAATCTGCACTTTTCTCAAATGTTCCATGGAATTTTGGAAGACCACCCTCCAAATAACCTTAAATGAACAAACAATTCAGTCAGATCCAATAATGATCCGAAGAGGAATTTTTCAAGGCGATTCTCTTAGCCCGTTATGGTTCTGCTTAGCAATAAATTCCCTCTCCGATATCCTGAACAACTGCAATTATGGGTTCAATATAAGAATTAACAAACAAAGAGAAAACAGAATAAGTCACTTGCTGTATATGGATGACATAAAGATATATGCAAGTACACAAAATCAGTTAACAAACCTATTAAATCTGAATGAACAGTTTTCCGGTGATATTGGTATGTGTTTTGGTATTGAGAAATGTAAGACCCAAGCAATCAGAAAAGGCGTCCAACACCAAGTACCACATATAACCCAGAATAACGAAATAATCGAAGCCTAAGAACGAAATGATACATACAAATATCTGAGATTCTGTCAATCCTCCCACATCAATCATACCAAAACGAAAACACAGTTGAAAGATCAATACCTAGCGAGATTAAAATTAACATTGAAGACACAGTTAAATGGAAAATATTTAATGAAAGGAGTAAATACATTCTGCGTTCCACTGCTAACATATTCTTTTGGAGTCATTAAATGGTCCAAAACTGACCTTGAAAATTTAAACATCGCAACAAGGAAAATCTTCACACAGTATAGAAGGTATCATCCAAAATCGTCCATTGAAAGATTCTCATTACCAAGACAGAATGGAGGAAGGGGTTTCCAGAACCTAGAAAACTTATATCAAAGACAAATCTCAGATCTGAAGAAGTATTTCTTGAAACGATCAGAAAGAAATGAAATGTTTCGCACCATCACAAGAGCAGATTTGAACCACACACCCTTAAATCTGTCGAACACCGAAGAAATCGACACTCCCCACACAATAGACAAAATAATAAGTGGGCTAAAACAAAAACAACTACATGGAAAATTCTACAAAGACTTAGAAGAAACTCATCTCAACAAGAAGATCTCATTGATTTGGTTAAAAAAATCAAATTTGTATGCCGAAACAGAAGGATTTGTGTTTGCTATTCAAGACCAAGTAATCAATACCAAGAATTACAGAAAATATATCATCAAAGATCCGAATATAAGAAACGACTGCTGTCGCCTCTGCAAAGCAAAACCTGAAACGATCCAGCACATAATCTCCTCCTGCAGCATCCTGGCACAAACTGACTACAAAGCTAGACACGACAACGCAGCCAAAATTATTCACAAAGAATTAGCAACACTTATGAACTTAATCGAAGATACGACACCCTATTACACTTACATTAAATCTCCGTTCCTTGAAAATAACAAATACAAATTATACTGGGATCGCACAATACTTACAGACTTAAACATTACAGCTAACAGACCAGACATCATACTTATCAAAAAACACACGAACGAAGCCATTCTCATTGACATTGCTATTCCTAACACAAACAACATTATTCAAACATACCACACCAAGATTTCAAAATATCTACAATTATCGATAGAAATGAAATCCATGTTGAATCTTAAAAAAATTTCAATTCTACCCTTAGTTATCTCTAATGTAGGTGTAGTCCCAACTAGCTTAGTTGAGAATTTAAAGTCTTTGCATTTGAATGATTCAATAATTGTCAAAATTCAAAAAGCTGTTTTGTTAGGAATATGTCATATTGTTCGTAAGTTTCTCGAACACTCTGATCACGTCAGTCAGATTAGATTAGCACCAGTAGGTCAGAGTAGTGTAGGTCACTTTCCAAGTGATGCGCGGATAAATGATCGGTAGTTACGCTAGACTTTTGGGGATGGGGTGACATTAGAGAATAATAGCAGACTAATTTGTATGCTGTAATTCTAGAATCTCGGAAGTTGTTTTGTTAATCTAATCAATGCATATCATTACTTGGTCTTAGTACCCGTAATGATAGAAGTCTTGCCTGAATGCCGGTCATTTCCAGGTCAGTGGTGGGTCTTAATAATAATAATAATAAACTTTATTCACACCAGGTAATTCACCCAATAACAGGGAATAATATAAAAAACAAGTATGTCATACAATGTACAAAATTTAGATAAGGAACGTACAAATTAATAAACAAAAAAGGCTATTAAATGAAAATTAGACAATAATATAGTTTGTAGATTTAAATAACTAAAAAAGAAGGTATAATCCACCGGACCACCGATCTGTTATCGTGAAAGGTTATATTATGTTGATATAGTCCAAAAGGAAAATACATTTGTAATTAAAGTATCGACGCGGCACCACTGGATAGGGCACCTGAGGTTTTATTCCGCGCCTTGGCCATGTAACTGTAAGGAATGCGGTAGTGTCGAAAACACAAACGAAATGTTGCAATGTTAGCAAACTGCCAACTTCCGTACATCCCTCTGGCGAAATCAGGTGGCATAATGTTTAGGTTAATGAAATAGTAGAGTTAGCAATACTTAGTTTATTTAAGGCGTGTGTATGAATTGGGAGCAAGCAGAAGTAGAGTAATAGAAGTAGTTATTGTTAGTGTAGTAAAGAACAGTGAAATAAAGATGTGAAAGTGAGTTATTAGTATGTTTCCACCCTGGTAACCACTCATCAGGGGATTCATGGTAAACAGAGGTTATCAAAGAATTACGCATTGCCAAACTGTGCTGGGAACCTAACCTATTTTTTCTTAAACTTAAAACACAGGGTGTTCTCTAAGTTGAGATATTCCTTTTAACAAGTAGTTTTATGCCTTGCTCTACAGCGATTTAGCTTAAATATATGTACACACAAATCCAAAAAATATGAATAGAATGACAAATCACAAGTACAGACTCATCATAATTTCTACATTTTAGATAGGATTTATTCGGCTTTTGAGCTGACGTCATCAATTTTTTGCAGGGGATAAGTAAATATATTTTGATTAAAAATTTATCATGCTTATCATAACTATAAACCAACTGCAAAATTTCAAAGCATTCGGTTTTACAGATTCAAAATTAAATTGTTTCAGACGTTTCAGGTAAAAACTCAATATGGAGTCGTAAACTATATGTGTACAACTATGTTATTTCATACAATTTAAAATCCATTTACCATGTACAATTTTGATGTGATGTCATCTCAGTAGTGGTGAGGATGATTAGACAAATTTTGGTTAGCGTTTTATCACCTACATGATATTTTTAATATAAATACAAAATTTCACAACAATCGGTTCAGTACTTTCGGAGATTATCTGTCTAATAAAACTCCGGGACGGCACACAGACGGACAGACAGACAGACAGACGGAAACGGGAGACCTACTTCTTTGTACTCTAGGGGTTATGAAAGGTCGAGAAAACGTAAATAGAGAGTCGGCCGATGGACTCGATTACAATACTTCCTTTGTTTATGCTCTGGAAGTAATAAATTGTGTGCTATACCTCGAAAAACAAAACACTATGTATAGATGAAAATAATATTTAGAGCTGTGCGGTCGAAATTTAAACGCTGCGAATTGACCCCCACTCCGGCAGGCCAGAGGCTTGCAACCGACGTTATGTATCGCGAAGAAAATTACGCGAAAAATAATGTTAACGGCATGTCAGTTGATGATTTTAAAATCCATATTCACGAAATAAGAGTAATAATAATTTTAATAATGTTCAGGTGTCCGTCTCGCTGACAATAAAACTATTTGTGTGAATTATCAAAAATAATCCACAACTGAAAAGCGAGAAGCGAACAAGGCAAGGCTGTAGCGATCGGCACTGTGGGCCGATAGTGGGGGTAAATAAATTTCGACCGCACAGCTCTAATTAATATTATTGCAAGCTACTCAAAGAACCTTACAACTTTAGTCCTTGACCTTATTTCTATCTCTAATAATGAATGTGACACCGAGGGCCACGCGGTTAGTGACTCAGCCTGCATTTCTAAAATTTGTAGGGACGTATTTCGTAGTTTTAGTGTAAGAAATCCTAATTACTTCATTCACATATAAATCTTTCACAATAAAGAGAAATTTAAAAATACACCGCCACAATTTATCGATATCTGTTTTAATTGTGACACCAAAAACAGAACATTATGTAAAAATATCGAGCGTAGTTTTGTTAAAATATATACTTATCTATTATAAAAATACCATTTTGAAGAGAGTTTATAATGTAAACAACATATTGCATCATAATGAACTTATCTGAAATTTGTTTTTCTATGAGTTTATATATCAATTGTAAGTTAGTTACCACGCACATCATTCGTTCTTTTGAACAATACTCTTCAACTAGATTCAAGTGATTTCTCTAGAAATGTCACAAAATTCAACAGGCAATTTGACGGAATACTACGTGAAAGATGACAATATATCGAATAAACAAGAAAAGTAAGTACATTTTATTTTTACTGATACCTAACAATATTTTTGTTCTTAAAAATTCAAGAGCTAACCGTTGTTATTTACATTAATTTAAGACTGACATGAGTAAAACTGCGTACTAATAAATGTTATGTACCACGTTTCAAACGTTTCAATAATTATTATTTTCTATTAAATATCACTAAAACATTCTTTAGAAAGTGTTGATTTTTTTTTCAAACTTCGCACATAAATTGTGAATATTTTAATTTGGTTTTACTTACAACGAATGGGGTGATATAGGGTAGTATTTGTGGCATTAAATCTTCTCTCAGTATATATGCAACAGTGGCCAATATTACATGACATTATCACTCTATGCTTGTGATTTATCATTGCATTACTATATTTTTTTTAATTTGCTTATGCAGGTAGCACAAAAAAAAATATGAATCAATTATTTTATTGATTAAATCAGGAACGGCTCACTCCGTTTTTCCCAAAAATTTGGAAATACAATACCGTTATTATTAGTACTATACTGCACCAGTCCAAGTTGATACACGTGTCCTTACAACAATGTTGATAATGTCGTCACAAAATTTGATAAAATAAAAACTTATTTGAAACACGCGTAGCCCACTGTTTTTAATTTATTTTAACATTAGATACATATGTTTATTTCAACTTATAGGGGTTGTCATAAAAAAATATGAAACTGGCAGTTCGGCCAATGGACACTTTTACTATACTTCTTTAGCTTAAGAAGCTCGAGAAGTAATAAAATTTGCAACATTAAATTTTATAGTTTTTCGAAAATGCTGGATGTGTTTCAGCGTATCATCGTACTTGAGGTGCAGAGGAAATTCTGTCGAAAACCTTCGACCAATTTTTAAATAACTGAAAAAATCAAGTTACAGTTGGCGTGTGTGCGATTGTAAAGGCTGTTTTGCTATTCAAGAAGACAAAATGAAATTTTGCAAAATGATAGAACCCTACAATGTTAATAACCATAACAATGAGCTCCGCAGCTTACGACACAAAGCTGTAATACAGATTCCGCGTTCATTGAATTGGCTTGGTCTCGTATATACTGCCTAGCTAATTCAGGGTAAATTACCAATTTTTGACCTGTTCCAATAGGCATCCCAAAATACATTATTCTTCTGTTCTTTGATTCACGGTAGAATTAAAAAAAAGTGTCGAAAGTTGTTTCAACAGAACTTCCCTTATTTTTTATAAGTATCCCCATAAGTTGAAATAAACATATGTCAATATGTAATGTTAAAGTAAAAGTAAAGAATCGTGCTACGCCTATGTTTCAAGTTTTTATTACTTTACAAAATTTTGTGATGACGTCATCATTTTTGTAAGGACACATGTTTTAACTTAGATCGGTGCAGTGTAATACCAATAATAACAGTATTCCCAAATTTTCGGGAAAATGGAGTGAGCCGTTCTTGATTTAACCAATAAAATAAATTTATCCAGTCATTAATTTTTTTGAGCCACCTACATAGGCAAATGTAAAAAATACGAATGCAATTATTACTCACACCTATAGAGTGATAATAATATTTTGCATAACTCAAAGAGGATTTTTTCGGCAAAATTTTGAGGTGACGTCATGAATTTTTTAGGGGGGCATAAATGAATCTATTTTGATTAACGATTTGCCATGATTACCATAACCTTAAAACGTTTTTAAGATTTCAAAGCATTAGGTTTTGCAGTTCCTGATTTATTCAGTAAAATAAATTGATTCATTCATTAATTTTTTTGAGTCACTCTATGTCAGCAAATCTAAAAAATATATCTACATTTATAAATCATAAAGTATAGACTTATAATATTTTGAACATTTAGGATTTATTCGGCAAAATTTTGAGATGACGTAATCAATTTTTGGGGGGGATAATCAGATACATTTTGATTAAAAATTTACCATGCATACAATAACTTCAAAATGTCACCAAGATTTCAAAGCATTCGGTTTTGCAGTTCTTGATTTAACGAAAAAAATTAATTGAGTCATTAATGAATTTTTTTGAGTCATCCTGCATCAGCAAATTTGAAAATTATGAATGCAATGATAAATCACAAGTATAGACTCATCATATTTTGCATACTAGATAGTATCCATTCGAAAAAATTTTGAGGTGACGTTATCAAACTTTTGGGAGGATAAGCAAATTTATTTTGATTAAAAATTTATCATGCTTTTGTAACTTTAAAACAGTTGCAAGATTTGAAAGCATTCGGTTTTGCAGATTCAAAATGAAATTGCAAAATATTGTTATATAATTTAGCCAAACATCTGGACGTTTCAGGTAAAAATTCGGATTCATAAATTATACGTGTAGGACTATGTTATTTGATATATTTTAAAACCCACTTATAACCCATTTATACAAAATTCGACAAAAACCGGTAGTTTCGGAGATTATCTATCACAAAAATTGATACAGACGATAGATAGACAGACAGACGAAAACGGGAGACTCATTTTTTAGTACTCTAGGGGTCATAACCCATTGAGAAAATATGAAAACAGCCAATGGCCCAATAGACTCGGTTACAATACTTCCTTAGCTTACGCTCAGGAAATAAAAATATCATGAATTCAAGTGTACATTCTTTTGTCACTGTCAGTTTTGGCAATTGAAAATTATTTTCAAAAAATGACAAGGTATTCGTTTACTAATACGGAGAAAGCGGACATGATCTTAATTTATGGAGAGTTTAAAAAAATGCTATAGTGGCGGGAAATTTGTACACCCAGAGACACACCGATCGTAAACGTCCAACAGATAAAATTTTCAAAAGACTTCAAATGACATTTTGGAACATTCGGCCTTTGAGTAAAAACTAAACTGTTTTATCCGCTACACGTTTGAACAATGAAATCCAAGATTGTTTTAAAAAACGGGCAATCCCGAGAGAAATTGGCATAAATCAATCTTCTGTTTGTCGAATGTTAAATTATAACCAGTTCCACTCGAATCATATGCAGTTAGTTCATAAACAGCGAGTGACTGACTTTCCACGAAGATCAGCATTTTGCAATTTTGTTCAGGAACAACTGCTAAATGGTTCCAGTTTTATCAGAAACATTTTATTTAGTGATGAGGCCAAATTTTCCAAAAATGGCATTATGCACAAGAAAATCCAGGGTGGATTCGTGAAACTTTTTGAGAGAATTATTTCTATCAACTTTTATTTTAAATGTAATGCGTGACAGTGACACTTTATTTTGACGTTTTTAAAACCACAAACCTCGTGGATTTGTGATATTTTTGAAATTCTAGTGTGAATTAAGGAATAAATGAATAATGTATTTTGGGTTGTTGGTTGCCGCTAACCACAAATCACATTCGTCATTTAGGCCGAATCATCCTATGTACGAATAAGTTCAGTTAACTTTGTTGCTAAAATATTAATTAAATTTGCAGGTATACTTACGAGTCACTACTACTAACAGCCCAATATTTACTGGAACGAATTTCGGTTAAGCCACAAGTCGGAATAATTTGCGGGTCCGGAATGGGTGCGTATTGGCACGAAGGTTATTTGTAGTTTAGTGCTCTTATGATCTTATTATAGCAATGTCATTCTATTTTAGGATGTTTGGCCGATGCCCTGGACAACAGACAAGAATTTCCTTACGAAACAATTCCCCATTTTCCTGTGAGCACAGTGGACGGTCATGTGGGAAAATTAATTTTCGGTAATCTTTCTGATGTACCCGTTGTATGTATGCAAGGCCGATTTCATTATTACGAGGGATATCCTCTATGGAAATGTGCGATGCCAGTAAGAGTTATGAAATTAATTGGTGTTACGCATTTAATTGCATCCAATGCGGCTGGAGGGCTAAATTCTGACTATAAAGTTGGGGATATTATGATAGTGCGAGATCACATTAATATGATGGGTTTTGCTGGTAACAACCCTCTTCAAGGACCAAATGACGAAAGATTTGGTCCCCGGTTTCCACCAATGAATAAAGCGTATAACAGTCACTTAATAGATCAAGGGAAGGAACTAGCTCAAAAACTTGGAATACAAGATTGCGTGCACGAGGGAGTTTACACCTGTTTAGGAGGACCAAATTTTGAAACAGTGGCCGAGCTACGTATGCTAAAGATGTTAGGGGCAGATGCTGTAGGAATGTCTACTGTACATGAGGTTATAACAGCAAGACATTGCGACATGGATGTATTTGCATTCAGTTTAATCACAAATATTTGCGTCATAGATTACGAATGTCATAATAAACCTAATCATGAAGAGGTCATGGACGTTGGAAAAATGAGGCAAGATGTTTTAAAATTGTTTGTGAAAAAATTAGTCGAATATATTTCGCAAAAATGAAACAACTATTTCGTCCGATAACATTCCAGCTGGTGGAAAAGTTTGTTTTTTGTTCCCATTTTTTAGTATATAGCTTCAAATTGTAAAGTTACTGTGTAACTGTTTAATATATATATATATATAGTCTCAAATCAAATGATTTTGTATATGTAACGATTTTTTCAAAATGTAAGCCAATTAAAGAAATTGACACTAGTTTTCTTCCAAAATTATGTATTCTTTTTAATGTCTACACTAAAATGATTATTCATATTTCTAAGTGTATTTTAAATTAAATTTGTAAATACTTACATACTTTCATATCTATTGCATTTTATATACTACATTCCACGAACTATAAACAATAGTGTTTATACGCCAAGGTAGTGACAATCATTATTCATTACAGACCGGACATAGATTACAGTCCGAGACGCGAAGCGTTGAGGATTATAACTTATAAGCGTGAGGTCTATAATAGTAGTGTGTATACCATTTGTTTTTTCACTAGTGGCGCATTGCAAAACAGAGATTTGTAAAAGTTTCAGTTTATTAAAAGTAAAATAACTGACATCATCTAACTAATGCGAATAAAGTGTTGCTATGAACATTTTATTCATCCTTTCGGTTAAACTATTGTTTTACCGAGATTTAACATACAAAATGAGCATTTTATTAGTAGAAATTGGAAAAAAGACATTTTTAAAATGGAACAAACAAATATTAAAATTTAATAACACGAACAAAACAATAAAAGCAATTAACACAAATAACATTAATCAAGACTACACTATTGGCATATTTTCTCGCACGATGCCATGAGCTGTGTTTCCTTTTAATCTGAACTCTTTATTTATATGTAACACATCCAACAGAAAAATAAGTAGGTATAACAAAATTTACGACTTGTTATTAAAATAAAAATTAAATGTAGCATTTCCCTTCGATATTACCTAAAAGAAATGCCTTGATGAATGTCTTGTTTCAAAAAATGAAACTGCTGAGAACTGGACGATGGGCCAGGTACATAATCATTTGGCACCTCTTGAACACTTGCAGAGTCTTGGGCAGTGGCGACTCCTCGGGGTGGGCAGGGTGGCCAATGCCCACCCTATTTGATTGTTTACGATACGAAGTAAAATATTGATTTTTTTTTCTTTTTAATTTTTTTCATGTGTATACACAAATAATTATCGTCATAAACATCATTTAAGTCAACGAATTTTTTTCATTATATCCCGTAATTTCCGCAACTGAGAAATTGCAGTTGCAAAAAATGCGTCAGATCTCGGCTTTATACGGTTCATGTGAGGTAGGGCTAGTCCACCCTGGTCCACCCTCTTGCTTGTAAGCAACGACATACGTTCGGTTTTCTATGTACGTTGCTTACTATGATTGAGAGTAAAGAATTCGAAACGCACGTTGCTGCATATCCGTGTTTTCTTGCTTCAAGCGGAGCATGACGCCCTGGCGTCAACGTATATCTCAAACGCTGCAGAATCGGATCTCTGATGTTCGATTCAAGGATTCAGTAAATTAATTTCGATTTTTCTACTTCTTTTATATTGTAAAAGTATAGAGGTAATTATTTTTATTACTCTACTGAAATATGGGTAAGGTGGTAAGGAAAGTAATGTTATGCGAAAATTCTTGAATAGTATTGTTATAGAAAAGAGCAACACCATAATAATTAATAATGACTTTTTCCTATCAAATGAAAATTTGTAATAACCATATTCTTGTATTATGACACCGCGTAAACTTTATAATGAATTATAAATTTAAAAATCCGAATAACCAATGATGAGAATAAGTAATGCATTTATTATTGAAGTACGTATGTGACATGTTTGTGTATTTTTTTATTATTACATATACATTTTTGTTCCATAAAGTGAATGCTTTGTTAACTGTAGCTGCGTCAACAAAAGTTAAATATACGCTTAATTTATTATTTAATTCAGACTGTCCACACAGGTTTGTTACGCGCTTCGCTCCAGGATGGGCAAATCCACCCTGACAATCGGAAGCACTCGGCATGGTTCGTCCTCGTCGGAGACACGACTCAACTGAATTTTCTACTAGTGAAAAAAATAAATTACGAACACTTTAGAATTTCAGAAGTAGAGCGATATAAAATATATCGCCACTGCTTTACAAAAACATGACCAATCTGAATAAATGAAAATTACTTGCAAAACGAAGTGAAACTATAGAAAAATCTCTTAAATTCGGCGTTTACTCGGCTACAAAAAAACATACATTTCGGCGACAAGATGAATCGCAAATTTCTCTTAAAGTAAATTCGATGATAAATTTCAAAAGTTTTTGGAGGAGTCTTTGGTATTTAGTGGTATTTCTAAATCCAATCAGAACGATTATTTTGGAATGATTTTTATTTTATTTGTTATTGTTAACTTTGTTAGTATTTTGAGAATTTATTTTTTGTTTGGTGCTGCTGGTGACATAAATGTTATTATCTCGGAAATGGAGGACCGGAAACGTTATAGTTCTAATGTATTAATTTATAATATTCCTGAATTTGCAGCATCGTCAACTCAGCAAAAAATCGATGATGATATTAATAGAGTTATGGATATATTGTCTCCGTTAAGGTCATTCCCTAAACCCAAAAAAGTTATTCGTATTGGCTCTTACAAACCTGACAGCATTCGTCCTTTAAAGATTGTGTGTAATAATGAAGATGTGGCTAAAGAAATTCTTCGCTTTAATAAAAACAACTCCAATCGAAATAATCATTTTCGTCCTGATCTGACCAGGGTTCAATGTGATTTTAACAAATCTGTTTTGAACGATTTTAGAGATAGGTTGTCCAAAGGTGAATCCGATCTAACTGTTAAGTATAAAAACAATCGGCATATATTACTAGTAAGACCACTTCCCATAACAATCTTCCAAAAAATTAATTCATTTTTATTATCAAAATGTAGGCGGTATTAGGACTAAGTTAAAAGATTTTTCTTTGAACGTCAGTTGTTGTGTTTATGATGTTCTTGTTATTACAGAATCATGGTTGTGCAGTAGTATTTCAAATGGCGAATTGTGTTTAAATAATTATAACATTTTTCGTACAGATCGTGATGTTGAACTTACAGCTAAATATCGTGGTGGTGGAGTGTTAATAACAGTAAAAAAAGATTTGGATTCTTATGTATGTATGTATGTATGTTTGTACACTTAAAATACAATGACTTAGACCTGATTGTTGGGGAAGTGTATATTCCACCTGCTTCTGTCTTAAATATTTACGAGGACTTTTGCTCTGATTTAGAATCAATTTTTGATGTAATGAAATTTATCAATCATCTGTATCGCAGGAGTTGCATAATGTTGTCAGCACGACTTGCTCATTTTTAAATCTAAAACAAGTAAATACAATTCCTAATAGTAGAAATGTATTTCTAGACCTTATTTTTTCAAACATTAGCAATATTGAAATTGCTTCCGCTTTAGATCCTTTTTTTCCCGAAAGTAGGTATTCATCATGTTCCTTGCTCTTGGAGTATTTTTTCTGTTAATATGCCGTCATTACGTTCGGAAAGTCGTATTTATGATTTTTCTAATGGAAACTATACGCTTTTAAATGACTCTTATGCTTCCATATGTTGGGATTCTTATTTTTCTATGTTATCTATGATATAATATTTGCTGGCTTGGAGAAATGCATTCCATACAATGTGCGCAATTACCCTGTATGGTATAACAAAGAACTTAAAGATCTTTATTGGAAGAAAAAATTAGCACATTTAAGTTATAAAAGACATGGCAGACTCGACGATTATTTATTTTTTAAATCTTTGAGATCTAGATGTAATGATTTAAGTGCTAAACTATACGCTTCGTATGTCACAATGGTTAATGCGTCCATTTTAAATGATCCAAAGTTTTTTTGGAAATTCATTCGAGATAAAAAGAAAAGTGATGCTAGTATACCTTCTAAAATGATACTTGATCAGCACTCTGGAAACGGTGGAGATGAGATAGTTAACCTTTTTGCACAGTATTTTTCCTCTGTTTACGAATTTGATGATGAAAGGAATTTTGTTTGTAATATAGATTCATCACATCAACTTAATGATATCGGTTTGAATGTTACTGTTTCAGATATTTTTAATGTTATATGCAACTTAAAGTCGTCATGTAATCCTGGTCCTGATTGGGTGCCAAGCGTAGTTTTAAAGAACTGTGTCTACTCTATTTGTTCACCTTTATTGATATTATTTAAAACATCATTAGACAAAGGTATTTTTCCTAAACTATGGAAGAATAGTTACATCATTCCTATTTTGTATGTAATCAGTCCGCAATTCCTAAATTGCGGGATCACTAATATTAAGTCAACTTCAATGGGCATCGTCGCAGATCACTTCTTGTCAACAGCATGGTTTTTATCCTAAGAGTTCCGCAATGTCTAATTTGGTAGAATATCAGTCATTTCTAAACGATGCATTATCTAACCGTATTCAGGTAGATACTATTTATACTGACTTTGCGAAGGCATTTGATCGTGTCAAACATCGGTTACTGATTATAAAACTTCAAAAACTGGGTTTTAAAGATTTGACAGTGAAGTGGTTATCTTCATTTCTTTATGATAGATGGCAACAGGTTCGTATTAATAATTTTATTTCAGATTCGTTTTGGGCTTCGTCTGGTGTTCCTCAAGGTTCACATTTTAAGCCAGTTCTTTTTACACTATTTATTAATGATTTGACATAGTGTTTTCAATATTGTAATTATTTGTTGTATGGGGATGACTTGAAATTATTGCAATGATACGTTCTGTTCAAGATTCGAAACAACTGCAGCTGGATGTGGATAGATTGTACAGTTGGTGTGATGAAAACCGGCTTCCTTTAAATATTAAGAAGTGCCATATAATATCTTTTTTTAATACAAAGTCACACATTAATTTCGATTATTATATGGACAATGATTTAATATCTCGTCTTTCGGAAATTACAGATTTGGGAGTCATTTTCGATACAGCCCTTTCATTTAAGAATCATTATTCGCATATTGTCAACAAAGCAATGAGTATGTGAGGTCTCATCTGGCGTAATTGTAAGGAATTGTCTTGTTTGTCTTTAAAAACCCTTTATTTTGCCTTACTGCGATCGCACTTTGATTACTGTTCTCAAGTTTGGAACCCT